CTACAGGTCTGTGGGCTGCTTCTGAGCATCAGACAGGAAGTTTACCCCTATCCACAACAGACCGAGGGCTGGCTGGCTGTGATCAGGATTCCCCAGGCACAGGCTTCACTTTTAACACACTCACATCTGATTCTAAACACAGGTTCATCTCTGCAAGCCATTGTGCTTCTAGTACTCAGGTGTCAAAGGACCGAAAAAAGAATGTCCATGCAGAAAATATTGAGTATTCACAGCTGCATTGTTCAGAACAGTCCAACAGACAGGACGTCAGCAGTGGACAGGAGACCTGTAACACAGGACAGGTGCTCACAGGGGAATGTTTAACCATACCGAGGAAGGACGTTTTAAGACCTGCTACAACACAATTGACTCTAGAGAATGTGCTCAATGGGCGTTTAGACACACATGAGACTGTTGATAATTCTCATTATTGACTATGAGAGAGGTCAGGTCCATAGGGCAGATTAGCCAGGTGGTGGTTCCCTCGGGTGAGCATGGCAGCTGTTTCTTCCAGGTGCGGGTCTTTTGGATGATGAGAGTCTCTGGAGAGAGGTAGGATGGGCGTCCATCAAGGGATGTAACAGAACCCTGGCTTGTGCATTAATGTAACAGAACCCTGGCCCATGCATTTTTAGGTGGTGGATTTTGTACTTTGGAGATGAGAGCTCAGTTTTTCCTGAGTTTGGAAAGGTCAGCTCAGCAGCCGTGGGCCACGCGTTCTGGGGTTCAGGGAGCCCCAAGGGCCCTGTGTTCTCACCCTGACATCACCTTCATCTCCACCAGCCTGGAGGACGATCCATGGTCCCAGACCTCATACCTTTCACCCATGCGTCCATCTGTGTCCATCTCTAAAAGACAGACTCACAAGCAAGGGAAATCACGAGAGAGGGACTGCGCTTAAGCCCAGTGAGTTTTGTAATTCAGTTCCTTTGATTTTTCTCACTTACAAAAAAGAAGTTGTTTTCTTTTATTAAAGGTCAAGGGAAGGTAGTCCCTGGTGGATGTGTCCCCAAGTCACTTTGTAGTTTGTCTGAACAATCAACTATTGTCAGGTTGACTTTACATATTTGACATAGTTCAGATGAAGTGTAAAGTGGTGTGTTAAAAATTATTCCCTCTGAGATGCACTCTCACCCTGGACTCCTAGGGGATGGGTCTAGGCCCTGCCCTGGATGAAATGACAGACTATGGACAGCCCCCCCCCATGGAGGGCCTCACCCTCCCTGGGGAAATGAAGGGGTATGGGGGGATTGGAAGGGCATGGCAGGAGGGGAGGGAAAGGGAGAGGGACCTGGGATTGACATGTGAAGCAACCTGTTTCTAATTTAAATTTAAAAATAAAAAGAAAAATAGAAATTATTCCCTCCAGTGGGAATAGTGGCCAGGTGTGGTAGAGCACACCTTTAATCCTAGTGCTTGGGAGGCCGAGACATACAGATCTCTGAGTCCAAGGCCAGCCTGGTCTACATAATGAGTTTCAGGACAGCCAGGGCTACACAGAGAAACTGTGTCTCAAAACAGACAGCTACTTCCCTGTCCCTGACACACACAGTGGAGGGGGGAGAGTGAGCTTTCCAGGCAAGGGGAGAGGTTATTTCATAGTTACCACTTCTCGGACTTGATACATGTGTCAGATACAGAGTATTTAATAATGTTCAAATACCCCCCATTCAATCCGCTTAGGAGAACGTTCAGATAGCATTAGTCAAGCTGCATGGGCCATTAGGTCAATGGGAAGGGCTAGGCATGTCGTGGGCAGCACGGCTGTTGACGCATTGGGGAGTGATTCATGAGAGTCTGGAGGCCCACATGGTCATTATTTAGTAATAACATTGAGACATGTGGGGAAGGGCAGCCAGAGGAACAGGTGGGAGAAGGAGGGACCAGAATACTTACTCAACTGAGGTTGCTTCCGAGAGAGACCTTAAGACTACTGAGGGATGGTAAGAGAGACCTAAGCCCAGAGGAAGGTGTTGTCAGGCACGCTCCACTAAAGGCCGCAGCTTCGCCGTCAACTGTCTTTCCTAAACTATCCCACTATCCCATCAATTTTTCCCCCAGATGGCATCATGCATTTTAACCCCAGTTGCCCTCAAGCCTGTGTGCCTCAGCTTACAGAGTGCTGGGATCTCAGAAGTGTATCCTCACTCTTGGCTCCTATCGGTTGCCATTTGTAGATGTTCTCTGTGAGATAACCAGAGCCGCTGAATGTGCTGGGCGGACACACCAGGCAGAGAACCTGTGGCAGGGTAAGACAGTGCAGGGGTTCCTCCATCTTGTATCCTTGCTGTGTCCCTTTGGGGTTTGGCTAGAATTTGACGGCCCTGTGAGCAGTTACTCAGCTCTCCCCTGGGAGCCTGAGGTCAAGTGCCCCGGGTAACTTAGCTTCTGTTAAACTGCCTGTTTGTGAGGACTTCTCCCTCCAGCTAACCCTTTTGATTCTGGTTTTGTTTGTTGTTTTGCTTTTATTTATGTATTTATTTATTTATTCTGAGACAGGATTTCTCTGTGCAACCCTGACTGTCCTGGAACTTGTTCTGTAGACCAGGCTGGCCTCGAACTTAAAGAGGTCCACCTGCCTCTGCCTTCCAAGCGCTGGGATTCAATGCATGTGCCGCCCTCACCCGGCCCTTGGCTTGTTACACTGGGCAAAACCATGCCCCCCTGCAGCTGCCAAGCAAGATAACCACGCCCCCTGCAGCTGCCAAGCAAGATAACCACGCCCCCTGCAGCTGCCAAGCAAGATAACCACGCCCCCTGCAGCTGCCAAGCAAGATAACAGGATGTGATTCTTGCCTTTAAAAGTCCTTTGCTCTAGATGCTCGGGGCTACGCTTGGGTCCCAAGTGACTGAGTGTAGTCCCAGCAGGCTGGAATAAAGACTTTCATTTAGCTATAGACTTATTCTGAGTGGGTCTTCTTTGTGGGCAGTTGTGAATTATCACTTTAGGCAAAGATGTGTTACATTTGCTTATGCTGTGGAGTATTACTTTAACTATGTAAAGGTGTGTTACATTTGCATAGGCCGCGTTTGTTTAGTTATGTAAAGGTGTGTTATATCTGCTTCACCTTGTCGGCCTAAGGCCCCTGATTGGTCTGATAAAAAGCTGAATGGCCAATAGCTAGGCAGTAAAGGGATAGGTGGGGATAAAGGACAGAGACAATAGGTAGAGTGTAGGCTTGGAGTGTGAGAGAGAAGAGAGAATGACGGAGATGCCAGGCAGCCAACTAGTCATGAAGGAAATAGGAAAGTAAGGTATACAGAATGAAAGAAAGGTAAAAAGCCCCAAGGCAAAACATAGATATGGAGAAACATATTAAAGCAAGGGCTAAGGTAAGGCCAAGCATTCATGACTAATGCCAAGTCTCTGTGTCATGATCTGGGAGCTAGTGGCTTCAGTGCCCGTGTCCAGATCAGGCCGCTGCATAAAGAGGGCCCGTGTGGACGGGGGCAGAGGTCAATCCATCTCAGATTCAGCCCAGGCCTCAGAAACCAGCATGGCAGGTCCTCAGGCCAGCGCGGGAGGATGAGCTCAAAGCACATGGGAGTCAGGCAGGCAAATCTGGGAAGGTGGATGGGGTTGGTTCCTGGCCTCTGGTTTGAACGCTGACTGGGGATCGAGTTATATCCCCAGGGTGACTTCCTGGGGACCCACAGCACAGACTTTGGGAACTGGTTGCTAGTGAGTGCATGGACTCTTTCCCCTGTACCAGGCATTGAGCTCTCCCAGTAAGTGCTTCCCCACTGCTAGGATGGGGCAAAACAGGGGGCAGTACCCGGAGGAGCCAGCAGGTCAGGGACTTGGGTTAAGGTGTCCCTGTGTCTACACACACACACACACACACACACACACACACAGGCATCTCTACCTTTGGTATACTATGTGATGTGTATGTATTTATGTGTGTGGTGGGGTTATGTGTGCATGTGTATTTGTGTATGAGAAAGAGAGAGAGAGAAGGAGGAAGAGGAGGAGGAGGAAAAGGGAGAGGGAGATGGCCTCCAGCTCTCTTGGAGGGAGTTGCCTTTGGGTTTGCCTCCTCGATGAAACCCCTTTTCTCACCCACGTCTTCTATAAGAGGTCGGGGCTGGGGACAGGCCTAACTGGAGTGGCAAAGGGAATGAAGAAAAGACAGACAGACACACATAAAGGCTGGGAGAAACCACAGCATCCCAAAAGCTTAGCGCGTTTATTACGGAGAGCTGAACAGTTATTACCCGCCAATGAACAAGGAGACGGGGTTTGTGCACACCACTGGACCAACGAACTAGGGAGCTAGGTGGGTTTAGCGGTCACTGTAAGGGAGCAGTCTTTGGGCTATAAATATCTGGAGCTGGGGAGAGAGCTATGATGGACTTTTTTTTTTTTTGCACACAGTGTCAATGTTCACACAGGGACTCCCCGGGGAAGACCCTCATGGCTTCCTCTACTCCCCGTGCTTACTGCTCTGCCCTTGCTTCCTGGCAGCCACGAGGTGGGCAACCCAGCCTTGCCTTGCCATCCCCACCGAGATTCCCCCTGGTGCAGGCCCAGGAGCAACTGAGCCGCCTGGCCTTTAAACTCCCGAAATCAGACGGCAAAATGAGTCCCTGTGTCCGGCATTCGGCTGCGGTGACACAAGGCCGAGTAACACATACACTTATAGGACCTGTAGCAAAGGGACCTGGGGACAGCCCTGTCCTTCCAAGAACCGGCCTGACCTGGTAGCTGCCGCGCTCTGAATGTAGCCGCTCACCCAAATCCTCAGTGGTGGGAAGGGAAGAAAGCGGGCTTTGTCTTTCTGCCCCCTTTGGCAGCTCAGCCTCAGTCTGCGCAGGATGATACTGTTACAGAAACTGGAAATTCCTGTGTGTGCAGTCTGGGGTGCTGGGCACCAAAAATAACGCAACGGCGAAGGGTCCCCGGTTGACTCTGGCAGCTCAATCCCAGGTGACATTCTGGAGTCCAGAGTTGCAGAGTACGTGATTTGATTTTATCCTCTTTCGGATCCTGCTGCCGCTGCTGGTGGTGGTGGTGGGGGTTGGGTAGGGTGAGGGGTGAGGGTTAGGGCAGGAGAGGGGGTGGGGGTGTTAGTCTGTCGCCCATACAAGGTTCGGGGACCATTGCGGGGAAGGGCAGTTAGCGGGATGGGCCCGACGTCTTCAGGACCAAGGCTCAGCATCACTCAGCACCATTATAGAGTCCGTGCTGAGGATCCAAAACCTCAAAACTATGCTCTTGCCCTTCATTGTCTGAGCCTAGGGTGTGGCTTAGTGGGAACAAAGCTAGGAGCGACGTTAGCATATTCTTGTTATGAGCCTTCCGACACAGCTTCAAGTGAGTGAGAGTCAGATGCTTCGTGTGGCTCTCCTGGGGTTTTGAGAATTCCATCCAACACAGTCCTGGGCTTGGAACACTCTGGCCTGGGACTGAGGGGGCTGTTCCTGGGTGGGGGCGGCCCAGGCAGGCAGGCAGGCAGGCGTGAGGAGGAGCCGTCCACCCTCCCTCCAGCTCCAGCCCTTGCTTGGCCCAGGATCCCAATTGCCTCTTTCTCCCCTGAGGTGGCTTGCTGCCGCAGACCTCATATATATTTGCTTTGATAGGTGGGATCATGGCCACAGCCTGAGTGGGGTCCCAACCCCAACTGTTTGGGAGATGACGGTAACAGAAGGGTGACTCACAGCCCAGAGGTAGAGAGTCACTTGAGAGGAATCTGAAAGCCTTTCATGCTCAATAGGCAGACACAGAGACACCTGATAGGGCCTGGCCAGCCCTGGCCACTGCCTCCACTCTACCCTCACTTGTGAAGAAAGATGATAGGTTAGCTCCTGCAGTGTGAGCGTGGGGCCCAAGCTACAGAGGCTGCGCTGCCTGTCTGGTGGGGTTTTTGGAGTCAGCAGATGTCCTTTCTGTCAGCCAGATGCATCCGTGTGTGAATGGGAAGGCTTGCTGAAGCGCTTGGCCCTGTGCTGGCTTCACAGAAGCTGGGATGCCCTGGAGGGATGCCTGTCACCCTCATGCAGACCCTGAGAGTCAGGAAACCCTGGTACCTTACCCTAGAAAAAAATATCATAGACCGTTCTGTGATTACAATACCCAAAATTTAAGATTCTAAAATTTCTAACCCTCCTCATACAGGAAGTCCACATTGGGGAGGTTTCTGGCTTTCAGCTTACCCAAGACTTTTATGGGGCGGATGCTGCTCAGCATAGACATAGACGTCACCCTCGTTGGTAGTCCCTTCTTAGGCTTTTACCTCCTCTGACCTCCGTCACAGGAAAATATTGGGGCTGTGATGACTTCTAAGTGTCATACATTGATTTCTATGGACACAAGCTCTCCACAGATGGTCAGGGGATGGGAAGTCTCGCCTCTTGTCACCTGGGGGTGTGGGTGTGCCATTTGTCTCTGTAATTGACAGTGTGATAATATTCCCTGCAGGGCTGTTGCACCCACCCAACCTGCCTAGTGTCTCAGGTGACTCAGGCTGCCACATCCAAAGGTGATGTCTGTAGGACAAGGAATCCACATCCCTCCCCCCCTAGTTCTTCAGGCGGGAGAGATGAAGAGGGCTGAGCTGGATGGCCACCAGTGCATTCTCTCATGGCAGAGACACTACTCCGTCGAGAGGCCACCCTCATGAACCCTGCCAGCCCTACGCACTTCCAGAAGGTTGCAGAGGCCACCACACTGGGACAAGGGCCTCAGTGGCAATTTTGACACTGCAGGCAGGCAGAGCCATGACTCACCCAACACCTGCAGGGGTGACTCTTGCATCATTTTGGAGGCTTTCTAGAAGAAAAAGAAATAAACACGAAAATTTAGGTGCAAAAGTAGACATTAATTTAGAGTAAGAAAAGTTAACAACAAATGCTTAACGGATGGGGTGAACCACATGACAGCATCCAGATAAAAAAAAAAAAAGAGAGCAGAGCGCTTTATCCAGTTATCTGTGACAAAGCCTCTGAGATGCTGTCCCTCTGTGGTTCCTGTCACAGCCTCTGATGGGCTCCCCACGGGATAAAGGCTTCTGTGGAGAGAACGGGACATGTGGTTCTGTTTTAGCTTCAACATGTACAGTCGGAATTGATTTTTAATGACCTGGTTTAGGAACCTTTTCTATATATAAAGAGCCAGCTTGTGATGGCAGGTGAGCCTGTGTCACTGCGTTTTAACCTGGGAAGTCTGTATCAGTGTATGTAATCCAGGGACATCAGTGAATTCCCCGGACTCTGACCACCGTAGCTGTGTGCCATTGGCTCTGGTCCTTGTTTTGTGATAAACTGAATTTGGTGTCAGTCTTTTATTTGTTGAGTCAATGACAAAAAACCTCTGTGTCCAATGTATTGCAACAGTTAGCCATTTCTCATTAGCTGGATTATCCAACAGCCCACGGGCTCATCACCCTCACAATATGTCTTTCTCTGTACTGTGACTTCTAAGAGCTTGTGGTCTCAGTGTGCTTCTGGACTTTCTCGTGGCGGGCACCACAGGTGACGCCCTAAGATGCGATCAACTTGTCAGAGGTGAAGACACGAGCCTTCACGCCAAGATGCGTTTGATGTGTGCGGCACAGCAGACTGCTAAACTCTGTGCACCGTGACTCGCGTCACCAAAGCAATTCTTGGCGGTCCTTCCTAAGACCCTTGGCAGCCTTGGCAGGGTCATCCTAGACGACCTTGCAGGATGAGATAGAAATGAACAGAATCCCTAAGGAGAGGAGGCCGTGGAGGATTGGGGAGTACTGGGGGAATGGCAACGGGGCTTTTAGGTGCAGGATCTGAGGAGATACGCAGGCTGGTGGTGGAGAGCGTCAGAGGCTATGGGTCAGTTGGGGTTCCAAGAGGAAAGGGATGCCTTGCAAGGAACAAGAGTTTGGGGTGCATTAGAAGAGCAGAAGCAAGCCTTGCCCGAGGTGCCAAAGCCACACTCAAGGACAGGCCATCTCAGGGATGCCGTGGGTGTTGAGCCCGGGATGGGCTTCCAGTTGACTTCAGAGTAAACCCCAGCCTCTGTTCGTACCAGTGAGGCAGCCTCATTATGTTCACATACCCCTGCCTTTGCCTGTCTCCGCCTCACAAGTCCTTCATTTTATGCCCTGGTGATGACAGATAAGGCCAGATTGTGTGCCTAAGAGAAACATGCTCCCACCCTTTGCAATCCTTAGTTATAGAGTCAGAGGGGAGGGTATACTTTATAATTTTTTTCTCTGTACAAGAAAATGTCTCACTAAGAATGGTATTGTGCAAGTGTGATAATTATAGGTATATGTAGGAGACGGATAGTGCATGGGATGAATTGCGTTTGGGTCGGTAGGGTTGGAAGCAGAAGCAGCCAGTGCCTTGGCAGGATAGCCTTCCTGGTAGAGCCTCGATTTGTGTCAGCCTGGCATTATTGAATCTTTAAACACCGAGCAAAACTCATCCTCGAATCGCACCATTTGCCAGTGACATCTGAGAACGTTGGTAAAAGGCCAGACATCATTCCATGCCGTGACAGAGACATTTAGGTTGGCTGAAGCCAAAAAAAAAATGCATTTGCTATATCATGTAATAGATTCTTAGAGTGAACTTGAGGCATCCAGGGTCTCAGTCGATGGCAGTCTGGTCTTGCTGTTCGAACTGACTTAATTCTCTGGAAGTTCTCTCTCTGTCCCGCCCATAACTTCTGTGCCCTGTAACTCGTGTGACTATGCCCACAGGGGCCTCAGTGTCTTCTGCGTCTGTGTCCACACGGATTGGGATGTACAAAGGGACATGGGTACTCCGAATGCCAGTCCGGCGACATGCCCGGTGAGTGGTGGCATCTCAGGGTCACATAGTGAACTGGCCCCATATGTAAAGTCTCTACCTCGATGACAGACGGTGGCTTGATGATACGGGCCAGAGAGCGAGGTTGTTTGCAGAGGTGAGAGTAAGGATGTGGGGTGAAACAAAGACATCCCTGTGTCACATGGGTCCTCAGTGCACAAAGACCGTCCAGAGGCCTGGAGAGTGACACCGGGTCTGCCTACAGCGTGGCACGGTAATTGTCCCCAATGCATGTGGAGTAAGAGGCGCAGGGTGACCTAGGTCACCCTAGGAACCAGCACAATGGGAACACTGTCCCCTGGCTTTCCACCTGCTCTGGTCCTGCAGCTCCCCTTCCACGTCGTTCTCACTGTGCTCTCCGGGAGGTCAGCTCAGGAGCCCCCGGCCTCCCGTCACAGCATTTGAATCTGTGACGCCAGAGTTGTGCTCCATCCAGAATGCATCTAACCCCCCCCCCCCCCCGCGGGTCCGCTAAGACAGCTCTTCACTGGCTAAAGCTGAGCTGGGAATGTGATGACCCAAACCCACGCCTCCGCCCCCACGCTACACGCGACCAGAGCACATCACACGGAGTCTCAGCAGGTTCAGCAGATGGGAGAAGGCTCCTGTGGCTGACCCCTCCACCCTTCCTGCCCGGCATGGGGGGGCATGGTACGCAGTCACACGTGCATATATGAACATGGGTGTCTGCTGGCATGTGCAGATTTGAACATGGGCCTGCATGCGTATGTGCCCACGTGAATGCAGGTTTCTGCAGGTACGTGCATTTGAGAGCATGTGCCTGAGTGTGCATAGGCATGTGTGATAGCTGCATGTGGGCAGCTGCTGCGTTCATGTCCAGTGGTGGATGTGGATGTCTACACATGTGTGTGCATGTGTGACCATATGTGTGCATATGTGTGTCTGCATGCGTATTCACAAGAGCACCACCTTCGTGTGCGTGGATGAACACGGGTGTCTGCATGCATGTGCACATGGAAGTGCGTGTTCATTCACGGCTCCATGTGCTCGGCTCAGGGACAACTGCAACATAGGTAACAGTATACAAAGCCAGTACGGATTTATCCTGTATGTACTTCTCAAGAGAGACACGCGCAAGATTTGATCTTATCGAACTTCCTTATGCCAATTTTACTCATCTTTAGTGATCTAATCACCCAAAAAACTCTTGATTATGTTATGTTTTTCCCGGAGTGAAGGCGTGGCTTTCAATGAACTCACAACGCGTGCGTCATGACTCTGGTGACCTGGAAGAGGTTGTGGATCGTCACTGCAGGACCACCACACCCAACGGTATGTGAGCAAGAGGCCACTCTGTATCTTTCCCCTAAAACAGGGTTGCTGTGCTCCCCCGTTGCCGTGGCAACCTACAGTGTCCAGCAAACATCTCCACCCAGCCTGAGGGCCTGCCTCTGTCAGTCCCAGGCCACGGCAGTGGAATGAGGGTGTAGTGATGTTTTATGTTTAATTCCTCGTGTTGCGCGAGGGTGCTGGAACATCCCTCCACACAGCACTGAGGTCACACTGCCCTCCGCTTTCAGAGCGGCTTTTGTCCAGGCATTGTCTCCACCACACTTCTGCACATGTCTAGTCATAAATGCTGGAGCTTCCCACTCTGTGCATATACACACACGGACGTGAGGACACGTTTCCCTGCTAGTTCCTGGTTGTCATGGTGGGTATCGTACTAGCGTGTGAGCGCGTGTACACACACAAACACACACACAGGTTTCAGATCACCTGATTGTGCTCCACCTGGGCAAGGGAACCGGAAATCGCCAACTCTTTAGGCTGGGATCTTGGAGGACAATGGCCTCACTTCTTCCCTCCAAGTCCCAGTCCCAGTCTCCATTGCCACCCCGCCACCTTCCCCCGCCCCTGCCCCGGGTATAGCCGGTATAGCGCAGGAAGCCATGCAGCTGAGCAGGTGATGTCGAGGAAAAAGGTGGGGTAGGGGGGAAAGCCCCTGCTCTTGTCCCTCCTGCCTGGCTGCTGGGAAAGCTCCAGCCTGGCAATGTGACAGCACCCCACTGTCACCTCAGCTTGCCTTGTTGAGTCCCAGTGTGACATTGTCCAGAGGGAGTTCAACATGGCTGTGCACCAGGAGGGAAGAGAAGAACCAGGAGGCACGGAGTTTGTCAGTTAAGCAGAACAAAGGGAGCTGTTGGTTGTTAGGGCACTGCTTTCCCTGGTTGGAGAGCTGTAGAGAGGGAAGCCTTTTCCTTGTCAGTCGCTTGGATTTTCCCCACCAGTCACCTGGGCTCTGCCGCATTGTAGTCCCCAAATAACACACAAGATGCTGTATTAATTATGAAGCTGTTGGCCTTGCTTGTTTCTTACTGGCTAGCTCTGACTTAAGTATTTATCCCATAATTGTCAATCTAAGTATTTCTGTTACCAGACAGACATCTTACTTCTCTGGCGGGCTACATCATGACTCTCTGTGTTTCTCCTACCCAGAGTCCTCCTGGACTCCTAGTCCCACCTATCTTGCTTCCCTATTGGCCAACAGTGCTTTATTGATGTATACACAGGACTTCCCCATCAGAGATCCAGTTTGTTGCCTGAGGTCTCAGGGAGTCCTGCTCCACGTATCAAGGAACTTTCAAGTCACTCTGTCACAAACCTGCCTGCGTGTCTTGTCACATCCGTGCCTCTGTGCCCGGCCGGCATGCCCCGGTGTCTCATGGAGCCCTTTCTCCAGGCATTACTGATGACATACTGTGTGCGGGAGTTGACTCCATGGAGGTCAATTCTGAACTCAACCTGAGAAGTTAAAAGAAATGTTAGAACTCGAACCACAGGACCCCATCAAAGCATGCATTGTGGCACCTTCTGGGCAGAGACTCAAATCCCTTTTCATCTCAGTCCAGCCGTGGAGGCTGGGGAGTTTCAGCACGACCCTGGCTGTGACCAGGAGATGAGAAGTGACTTGACTATGGGCCATTGCTGTAGGCAGCAAGGCAAGTTCTGAACCTCTTTGGCAGTCAGTCTAGGTCCGTGGGTCACTCCTGGAGCTCACCTCTGCCCTCTGAGAAGGCCATGCCTGCCAGAGCTAGAGTCAGGCTGTGGTCCTGGCTGAGTGCAGAGAAGGTACAGATCTCAGAGATGTTTCCTCTTAAGATGCTACCCAGAGTGGGTGATGCTAAAGAGGACAGACCTGAGTATTTGATGCCAAAATCAAGTGTTGGTCAAGAAAGTGTCAGGAGATGCGTGTGCTAAAAGCGTTAATGCGTCTAAGTGTGGGGCTGGATGATGGATGCTGGGTTAGGAGACTACGGTGTGTCTGGATGCTGGATTAGGAGACTACGGTGTGTCTGGATGCTGGGTTAGGAGACTACGGTGTGTCTGGATGCTGGATTAGGAGACTACGGTGTGTCTGGATGATGGATTAGGAGGCCACTATTGCTCCATCTCTGCAGAGGACTGTTGGCCCTCATGCCGCCTCCCTAAATGCATGCTGTCATCATTGCACTGCAGCCCGCCATTTAGCCTCCACCTGTGTCACTCCAGAACCGGTGGCCTACAGGAGCCCCTGCTGTTTTGGGAGGGTTCAGTCCCACTGTCGAGCCGTGACTACGGAGTACCAGTGAAATAGACACAGGGGCACACTTACAGACACAGGGGCACACTTACAGACACAGGGGCACACTTACAGACGCAGGGGCACACTTACAGATGCAGGGGCACACTTACAGACACAGGGGCACACTTACAGATGCAGGGGCACACTTACAGACACAGGGGCACACTTACAGATGCAGGGGCACACTTACAGACACAGGGGCACACTTACAGACACAGGGGCATACTTACAGACACAGGGGGCACACTTACTTACAGACACAAGAGGCACACTTATTTACAGACACGGGGCACACTTACAGACACAGGGGGCACACTTACTTACAGACAAAGGGGCACACTTACAGACACAGGGGCACACTTACTTACAGACACAGGGGGCACACTTATAGACACAGGGGCACACTTACAGGCGCAGGGGCACACTTACAGACGCAGGGGCACACTTACAGACACAGGGGCACACTTACAGACGCAGGGGCACACTTACAGACGCAGGGGCACACTTACAGACGCAGGGGCACACTTACAGACACAGGGGCACACTTACAGACACAGGGGCACACTTACAGACACAGGGGCATACTTACAGACACAGGGGGCACACTTACTTACAGACACAAGAGGCACACTTATTTACAGACACGGGGCACACTTACAGACACAGGGGGCACACTTACTTACAGACAAAGGGGCACACTTACAGACACAGGGGCACACTTACTTACAGACACAGGGGGCACACTTATAGACACAGGGGCACACTTACAGACGCAGGGGCACACTTACAGACGCAGGGGCACACTTACAGACACAGGGGGCACACTTACAGACACAGGGACACACTTACAGACGCAGGGGCACACTTATAGACACAGGGGCATACTTACAGACACAGGGGGCACACTTACTTACAGACACAAGAGGCACACTTATTTACAGACACGGGGCACACTTACAGACACAGGGGGCACACTTACTTACAGACAAAGGGGCACACTTACAGACACAGGGGCACATTTACTTACAGACACAGGGGGCACACTTATAGACACAGGGGCACACTTACAGACACAGGGGCACACTTACTTACAGACACAAGAGGCACACTTACAGACACAGGGGCATACTTACAGACACAGGGGCACACTTACTTACAGACACAGGGGGCACACTTACTTACAGACACAAGAGGCACACTTACAAGACACAGGGGCACACTTACAGACACAGGGGCATACTTACAGACACAGGGGCATACTTACAGACACAGGGGCACACTTACAGACACAGGGGCACACTTATAGACACAGGGGCACACTTACAGACACAGGGGCACACTTACTTACAGACACAAGAGGCACACTTACAGACACAGGGGCATACTTACAGACACAGGGGCACACTTACTTACAGACACAGGGGGCACACTTACTTACAGACACAAGAGGCACACTTACAAGACACAGGGGCACACTTACAGACACAGGGGCATACTTACAGACACAGGGGCATACTTACAGACACAGGGGCACACTTACAGACACAGGGGGCACACTTATAGACACAGGGGCACACTTACAGACACAGGGGCACACTTACTTACAGACACAGGGGCACACGTACTTACAGACACAAGAGGCACACTTACAGACACAGGGGCATACTTACAGACACAGGGGCACACTTACTTACAGACACAGGGGGCACACTTACTTACAGACACAAGAGGCACACTTACAGACACAGGGGCATACTTACAGACACAAGTGCACACTTACAGACACAGGGGCATAATTACAGACACAGGGGCACACTTACAGACACAGGGGCATACTTACAGACACGGGGCACACTTACAGACACAGGGGGCACACTTATAGACACAGGGGCACACTTACAGACACAGGGGCACACTTACTTACAGACACAAGAGGCACACTTACAGACACAGGGGCATACTTACAGACACAGGGGCACACTTACTTACAGACACAGGGGGCACACTTACTTACAGACACAAGAGGCACACTTACAGACACAGGGGCACACTTACAGACACAGGGGCATACTTACAGACACAGGGGCACACTTACAGACACAGGGGCACACTTACAGACACAGGGGCATACTTACAGACACAGGGGCACACTTACAGACACGGGGCACACTTACAGACACAGGGGCATACTTACAGACACAGGAGCACACTTACAGACACAGGGGCACACTTACAGACACGGGGGCATACTTACAGAAACAGGGGGCACACTTACTTACAGGCACAAGAGGCACACTTATTTACAGACACGGAGCACACTTACAGACACAGGGGGCACACTTACTTACAGACAAAGGGGCACACTAACAGACACAGGGGCACACTTACTTACAGACATAGGGGCACACTTACAGACACGGGGCACACTTACAGACACAGGGGCACACTTACAGGCACAGGGGCACACTTACAGACACAGAGCACACTTACAGACACAGGGGCACACTTACAGACACGGGCACACTCACAGACACAGGGGCACACTTACAGACACAGGGGCATACTTACAGACACAGGGGCACACTTACTTACAGACACAGGGGCACACTTACTTACAGACACAAGAGGCACACTTACTTACAGACACAGGGGGCACACTTACAGACACAGGGGCACACTTACTTACAGACACAGGGGGCACACTTACAGACACAGGGGCACACTTACTTACAGACACAGGGCACACTTACTTATAGATCCAGGGGGCACACTTACTTACAGATGCAGGGGCACACTTACTTATAGATTCAGAGGGTACACTTACAGATGAGGGGGCACACTGAGGGGCCATGGCACTCTGAGTGTGGGTTTAATCACAGAGCCAGAGGAGGACACAGGCCCACAGCTTTCTAGCGATGACACCGTTAAGAAGGCTGACATCCATCCACGGTCCACATTCTTCATGCTTCATGCATTGGAAAAGCTAAAGCGCATACAAGTTAAGAAAACAGAGAAACGCCAGGGGGCAAACAGTTCAAACTGTGCTGCAGGCACCTGTGCGACCCAGGCCGCCAATAACTGATTGTCAGCCACAACCCAGGGCAGACAGAAGAGGCCCTGGTTCCTGAACCTCCACTAAGCGGTTTTGCTGTTGTTCTGAGATAGGGTCTCACTATGTAGTCCCGGCAGACCTTGAACCGATAGAGCTCTATTTTCCTTGCCTCCCTCCAAGCCCTGGAATTAAAGCCTGCACCCACTCCACTAAGCTGTTTTTAGACATAGTTGCTAAATGAAAAAAAAATGAAGTAGGAGGACTTCCAGAATAGCTATCATACCAAAGTACAGTGATGGGCTTACATCAGGGCAGCTAACTGCTTTCCCTGGGAGCCAGCCATCTGTGGCCCCCATGCTGTGCCCTGACCCCAGGTCTGCCACACTGCACGGGGGAGAATTTATTCCCCAGACAAGTGAGCAGATGGGGGTGTTTTCTCTCCACTGTGCGTGTTACTGAGGGTTGTTTTTGCGAACGCCTGCAGGGCAGTGGGTGTGATGGCACTGTATTTATCAGCGGCTTCCTGCTTCAGTCACATCTTGAAAAGCAGCCGTTAGCATGGAGCAGTCTGCTTTCACAAAGGGCCATTGAAAAATGTGGGTTTCACAGGATGCAGTCATGGAATTGCCATTTATTTCAGGCTTTCAGCCAGGAAGAAATTCACAGAGTTAGGGGACAGCGGTCATGGGTGATTAGCAACAGGGCCTCAGAAGGCCGTGTTGAAGGCACACACCCAATGGCTATTCTCTGCCCAGGGCAGGAAGGCCAGAGGTTGACTCCACAGTGAGAAGGACCTGTCTGTTCCTGTAGATGTGTGGATTACTTCTTTCTACCTGTCCAGCCTTCTCCACCTTGCCTCTGAAAAACCCTCTAAAGCCAAATGATTAAGTGCAGTTAGAATAGAAGAATCCCCTGATATGCCTTCTCTGTGCTGCAGAGGTCAGTAGGCCCCGCTGGTTCTGGACTGAGGTGGCATGAAGGTGGTTTTTAACAGCCCAGAGAGGAATCGGTTCACAACCATACCCAGTGAATGGCCCTGCCAAGGACAAGTCCTCACAGAACGATGCCCTGTGCAGGGCTCTCCTGGGCGGTCTTCCCTGAGGATTCCCGAGTTTGAGGCAGGAACCTGGTACAACTTCTTCTCCCCCAGAAACAAGATAAGAAAGCCCAGTCCCCCCCCTTCCATTGAGTGACTCCCACCTGCCCTTCAGAACCCACGGTGTCCTGAGAGTACCACAGTTCAAGAAATCTAGTTGGAGAGTCATGAAAAAATCCCCTCAGCTTTACTAGATTAAAGTGAGTTGGTCTTGAGTTGCGTGGGAAGAAGGCATATACGCAGGAAGAGCCCAGCAGGGTCTAGAGCCCCAAAGGGCACATCAGAGCTCCAGGTGTCGAGCGCCCACCCCCTGCCATTCTCTCATGCATTCTCTGAGTCTTACTAACCCTTGTTTTCCCTGTCCATGGGATCAGTCTCATTTTCAGGAGCTCTGAAGTGCTGAGTACCACTAGGGCCGGGATGCTTGCCTTGTTCTGGGGTTCCGGCTCAGGACACCCATTCCCTAAGCAGATTCAGTCCTGATGTTATTTTGAGGATTGCCCAAATATAGTGGGAGCAGAGCTTGGCCGTACTTCCTCATGGTAGAGGAACTGGAGGGTGGACTCTGGGCTGTTCTACAGGGGGAAACCTAAGGGGCCAAGGGGGGCTTTGGACCTGCTCTGCTGGTCCCGTCTGGATGCCTTCTTGCAAGAATGCACTGCCTGTGATTCTCCCGGAAGCCTCCAGCAGGTGGGTTACTTTTCACACAGAAGGATCTGTGCAAGGTTGGTCGCCAATGAAAAGCAAGTCATGACTACAGCGCCATCCACAAAGGTTTGTAGCTTTGGGATTTGGTCACATTAAGAAAACAAAACAAAACAAAACAAAACAAAACAAAACAAAAAAACAAAAGCCCTTAAACGTGTCTCTGATACATTTGTGTAAGTGTGGTATGCTGATTTCTTTTCATAATCGTAGTCACAGGCGGGTAATAATGGAACACCAGAGGCCAGGCAGCACTGCATGGTGCCCAGAGAAAGCCCTCCTCTAGCCGCAGATGTGCATTTGGGTGGCGTGCAGCAAGAAAGTGACTGCAGGCCGGGCGGTGATGGCGCACACCTTTAATCCCAGCACTCGGGAGGCAGAGGCAGGCGGATCTCTGTGAGTTCGAGGCCTGGCTGGACCTACAGCCTCCAAAACAATACAGAGAAACCCTGTCTCGTAAAAACCAAAAAAAAAAAAAAAAAAAGTGACTGCGATTCTTCGGGGTGCACATGCCTTAGATGGCTAGCAGAGTAGGGAAGGAGCCCCTGCCCTGCTGCTCTGACGACATAGGGCAACCTGAACCCGAAGTCTTTCTTCCAGAGGGGAAGAGGTAAGCAGGGATATCCAGCACACCTACGGCCTCTGTCACTGCAGAACCCAGGTCCTTATGGTCCCAGCTTTCACTACCTTGAAGGGACCCACGCTACTCCCTTCCCTGCAGAACTTCAGCTATCCTGGGACCATGGGCACTGTTCAGGTGATGCAGGGACAGCCAGCCCTGGCTAGCTACTACAGAACTATACTCACAGATGTCGGTCATCAGAAACCAGGCCCAGCCAAAGCAACCTTGGCGACTGCGGCAGAACCCACACAGTGCCTCGGCTCCAGTTGCTAGAAATCTTGTCTGGCAGAGAGGGAGCCGAGATGAGCCATCTATGATAGCACAGAGGGGACTGCAGGATACCTGGAGGGAGATTAGCTAGCCCTGAGTGCTTGGGAGTAAGGACTCCCCTTTCTTGCGCAGGAGGTCACACTCCATCCAGCGAGACTAACAACCCTTCACGTGCCTGGGAGCCCCGGGTGATGCCTCTGTTCATGATGTGATGACACAGCCATGGGCTCCTAGGATGCTGAGACATTTCCAGATGCCCTTCTCATCTCGATGTAGCCGAAGAGCCTGCTCCGAGGCTGTGAAGATTCATCTACCCTGGACCAGAACCAGCACAAGCTTCCCAGGCGACATCCTAACGTTCATCCATAGATGGGGCTCTCGCCGTGACAACAGCTGTACACAACTGGAAGAGGCACCTGCTTCGCCAAACGCAGACATCGGCGCCAGGCGTTAGGAACCGCGGGATCTCATCCGGAACCCACCAAGAAAGGGAAGTTTGTAACAATTGAGACAAATTAAAAAATAGTGGTCCCAATGAAACTATGTTAGTCTGAATGAGTGTGGAGAGGTATCCCCCCCAATTCAGGAAAAGCATTCAAGATCTGTTTGAACAAGGAGGCCGATGCTATGGAATCAACAAACTGACTCTAGTCCCAGAGGTAAAGGCTTCAACAGTGAACGGAGGGATGCCGGCTTGGACAGCAACAGGGGTGTCTTACAAAGCACACAGCTGTCCTTTTTCTAAACAACCTCACACTACAGCCCTGTTGAGCAGATATCCGACCTTTGGTCATCACACCGGTCTCACGAAGCTGCAGCAGGTGATCTCCAGATCACACGGGGTCCTTGCACATAGAAAACGGCCCATTACGTGAAATTGGTCATTGCAGTGTGTGTGTGTGCTTGTGTGCGTGCGCGTGCTTGTGCCAATACCGCAGCATGGGGAAGCAACGTGTGGAGGCAGGAGTCTCTGGCTGGCGCTTGCTTCTGCTTTAGGAGCCAGAGTTTCTCTCCTGACAAAGGGGATCAGGTTTAAAGCAGGAGTAAATCCCCTTTTGCAGCTTACATTAAAGAAAACCACAGACAGTCCCATCGGACACAAAAGCTCCTGTTGACAGCATGGGACGCCTCTACCCGCCCAGTGAGCTCCTTGCCACAGTGCAGTTGCCTAATCGCCCAACTCCACGTTGCCCAGGTCGCTGCTTTACCCGCCTGTTGCACCAGCACAGACTCGTAATTGTTTTGTGTGAATCTGTCCTTGCAGCCAAGAAGCAAATGAAAGACAGGCCGCGCTGCAAGCTACAAAGGGAATGACCCTTGTTTTATGCTTGTTTACACATCCATCTTTACTGGAAGACTCGTTTTCTCCACAGCTTTGACATGTCTGTGTCCTTTCACTCGAATTTATAGTAGAAGAGATCTGCTGGCAGAAAAGACCTTCAGATTTCACTTCTAAATGTTTTAATTTCTTTGCATTTTCAAGATGCTCCCCCACCCCCAGTCCCATGGTGTTCCATTGTGGAGGGAAGCTGGAGGCTTATAGAATTTAAAAATTACCAGTGGTTCCTCCTCAGGGTTATACATATACATATAATATACATATATATACATATACATACATATGTATGCAGTGAACAGTTTCCGGGAGACCCTTAAGTGAGACTATCTACTGGCTGCACAGGGAACCCAGTGCTGAGTTGCCCAAGTCACCCCAGGCTCCTGCAAGTAACCTGTGTAAGCTCACTGGGTCACTAAGCTAGACTTGGGTGGACTGGTTCCTTTGAGCTGTCCTAGCTGCCATATGTATGTGGGATGAATAGGCGTTTCCTTACATCTCCCCAGGGTAAGTCATGCAACAGTTGGCCATAGAATTCCTGGAAGATTTTTTTTCCATTTCAGTTCTTTAAATATATTGTTGTTTGTCTGGCATTGACGGTTTCTGGTGAGAAGCTTGTTGTTAATTGATGGGTCCCTTCTCTGTGACAGGATACTGCTCTCCCCAGGAGTTCAGGAGCTTTGGGGGCTGGGGGTTCAGCTTGGCGATAGGTAGGGCAGCTGTGTAGGATGTGAAGGACTCTGGATTCAGTCCCCAGTCCCACAAAAACTCTTTGTATCTCTCTAGCTTGTTACACCATAGTTGCATGGGGGACTTGTTTCCTTTTATCTTACTCTTGTTTGTGAGAGTCTCATTTGTGTCAGCTTTTATGATTCATCAACTTTTGGTAGGTTCGAGCTATTGTCTCTCAAATATGTTCACAGTCAGTCCCCCACTCCCTTCTCTTCTCTTTTGGGGACTCCCGAAATGCCTATTGGTCTGCCTCGTGCTGTCTAGTAGGTGCCCGGGTACTGCTGATCTCTTCATTCTTCGCTTTTCAGATGGCTTTTTTATACCCCCTTTTCACCTCCAGGGATGTTTAACTAAAAAACACAAGTTGTATATATATCCAAGGTATACAACTTAACGGT